GCTGTGATGACGTCACGTACGCGCTTTCGTCGAGCGCACTTTAGTCTACCGCGGTTTTGTGGTGGAACCTTACATAGGAGTCTCTAATTCTAAATGTTGTAAGAGAAACATCTTCCCCCATAGGCCCCAAAGCCAAAACGCTTACTTAAAGACAAAAGTCAAATCTAGCGAATCAAAACTTGAACAGATGAAGAGTTTCACAGTATCCTATGGCCTACAAACGCATAAACAAGAACATAAACAAACATTTAGAGCAAAATACATTATTTTCACTTAAGAAGTTCAGCTAGCAGGGTTTTCCTCCCCCTTAACGGATGTCACTTTACACTTAGGCCAGGCCCCTAACTTCAATGGGGTGCGTGGGGATTGAACTGCAGGCATATTCCATCAATAGTTTGGATCCCTGTATGTCACAGGTGCCAAACTTGCCGTTACGTGACGTTTCATGACATTTTCCTCCTTCGCGGAGCCTGGGGGTGAGGCGTGGCCTGCGCGTGACGCATCTGGCCTGCAGGCCACCATTTTGACACCCCTGATGTAGGTCCTCACCTAACGACCATATGGGATTCACTCAACAACAGCAATGAGGGTTGTCAGAATTGCCATTGTTACAAGTAGAGGAATCTCTTAATCGCCACATCACTTAGATCAGGGATGTCAAACCGGATTTCTTTGGGGGCCAGCGGGGGGGCAGGGAGGGGGAGAGATGGAACAGACACAAAGCAGGGCATGAGGACGGCCTCCAGCAGTACTCTGCCCGCCAAAAACGGGCTGCGTGGAGGCTGCAGGTGCCCCCCCCTGTGCCCCGTTTTGGTCAGCAGAAGCACCATGGGACAGTGATATTTCCAGGCCAGCCCCGCGGTGCAGATTTAAGCACCCCAAGGGCCGGATTTGGCCCGTGGGCCTTTAGTTTGACAACCCTGTCTTAGAGATACAGTGGCTGGTCCCAAATATGGTCATGAATTGAGGACTACCCGGACTCTACTTTAAATGAGAACATTGTCTTTTTTAGGACCTGCCCACCACAATACGCATGCCTGAAAGTCGGAGATAATCCTGATTTTGGCTTCACCAGCTTTGATACTTTTGGCTGGGCTTTCTTGTCCTTGTTCCGCCTCATGACGCAAGACTACTGGGAACGCCTCTACCAACAGGTCTCTCTCTCTCTCTCNCAATGTCTCTCATGTCAATGGGCCTTAGCTGTTACAGTGTAATAAGGGTTAACCGGAGAGGCAGTTTTTGTAAGCTGGGCAATAAAGATGAGGCTAGAAACAACACCAGAATGTTTCCTTCCTGCCTTCCTTACAGGATTAGTCCTGTAAAGTGGGGAAAAAAACAAAAGGAGATTTCTTCCAACAATTGGTTCTCTGAACTGCTTAGAAAGTTAACAACTGGTTCTCCTGAACAGGTGCGAACTGGCTGAATCCCACCACTGTCTCCCTGGGCTTGTATAGCAATGATAGCAATAGCTCTTAGATTTGTACTCTGCTTCACAGTGTTTTTCAGCCCTCTCCAAGCACTTTACAGAGTCAGCCTATTGCTCCCAACAATCTGGCTCCTCATTTTACCAACTTCTGAAGGCTGGAAGGCTGAGTCAACCTTGAGCTGGTCAGGATCGAACTCCAGGCTGTGGGAATGCAAAGTTAGCCTGCAATACTGCATTCTGACCACTGAACTGCCATGATTCCTATGATTACACTTTTATCAGACCATCTGGCTTGACTACTTAAAGCAAGTTTGGTGACTACAACAGAAAAGATATTTGTTTATAGGAAACTAGCCGATAATCCGGCGTTGCCCAGGTATTTATTTATAGGGGGGAAATGTCCGGATCAAACATAATTTCTAATGTTGGAATTTCCCCTTTACAAGAGGGAGCCCCCTTGTGGAGTACTGTGAAGCTGTTACCATGGCAACTCCACTGCGCTGTACAGTAGAATCCATTTTACAGCAGTACAGTAGAAGCCATTTTAAGGCACAACAGGCTGTATCTTAACAGACCACACAGCCGAGGGGTGTTAGGTTAGTTACCCCCACAGTATTTTTTCCAGAGAGAAAGTCATCTGTGTATCAGGTTTGGTTGAAATTGCTTGAGGCGCTCCAGAGTTATGCTGGAACATACGCACACACACACACACAGAGCCATATATGTATATAGAGAGATAGCAAAGCCTAGAGCCTACCTAACTACCTCACCTCACAAGGAAGTGAGACCAAGAACATATACCATATCTATGTGTGCCGGGAGAAAAGGAAGAAGGAAATGGCTCATATTAGCAAGGAAGGAGGGAACATTATGTGTGTGACTTTGAATGTCCTGCATGAAAGATTGGAGAGAAATTTCAAATAAATATTTTTGGAGTCAATGCTAGGGGAGGTGATGGAGAACTACTGTTCTGTTATGCTTTTGAAGGCTATCTTGTTTGGATTTGCAATGATATACCAGAGGTATTTTTAACAGGAGAATATTAAAAAATGTTACAGTTGAGAAAAGATCGCAATTACTTTGGGAGTCTTTTAGACCAGAGGTCTCCAACCTTGGCAGCTTTAAGACTTGTGGACTTGAACTTTAAGACTTGAAGCCCGCAACTCTTAAAGTTACCAAGGTTGGAGACACCTGTTTTTGGCAAACAAGGTAAACTAGCATCTGGGAAGCTGTCCTTTTAAATAGTGATATTTTTAAAAACATGTATGTGAAAATAGAGTTTTATAGTTCTCTTTCACTCTTTCTACAATCCAGGTATTAAATGCCAGAGAAAATGATAGCATGTCTGTTAGCTCCTTCGAAGTGTCTCCAACATCTAAGGAAGACAAAGAACGAAGCAACCGAAAGAAGAAACTAAGCATGGAAGATTCGGGGCCAGCCTCAAATGATAGTCATCGGAAAACAGTACATTAGTGTTATGTTTTGCTTATATACAGTACAGATAGTCCTCGACTTACAACAGTTCATTTAGTGAATGTTCGTAGTTAAAACGCCATATAGACTTATGACTATAATTCACACTTACGACCATCGCAGCATCCCCATGGTCACATAATCAAAATTGAGATGTGTGGCAACTGGTTCATATTCATGATGGTTGCAGCGTCATGGGCTTGTGTGTAGGTTTGTGTGTGTGTGTATCACACCCCTTTTGTGACATTCTGACGAGCAAAATCAATGGGGAAGTCTGATTCACTTAACAACCATTTTACTAACTTAACAACTGCAGTGATTCATTAAATAGTGGCAAAGAAGGTTGTAAAACGGCAAAACTCCCTTAACAACTGTTTCAACAGAAATTTTCAGCTCAATTATGGTTGTAATTTGAGGACTACCTGTAATACTCTCCTTCCTTTTAACTTTTGAAAAAAGGCTCTTGCAAAACTGGAAGCTTAAACTGTGAAAATAAAATGTACCAATTGAGAAAACTTGACTCCAATATGCAAATCACCAGTTGCTGATTAAAAACACTTGTACGGACGTTTTTAAAGTAAATTTACCTTCAAGAAGTGACATAGAAAAGCAGTCCATACTGTGCAATTTAATATTTTGTAAAAATAAAAATAAAAATTCCCCAAGCCTGGGTCCTCAAAGTAATCCTAAATGGCAACAGGATTTCTTTGGGGTTTTTTTTTCTTTGAAAACATCTATGGAGATTCTTNAAGAGGCTGAAAATCTGGGTGTGTCTTATACACTGAATACAGCATTTTTTGCCTCCTGAAACCCCGCCCCCTTCACCAAAATGGCCGTGCATAGCCTTTAGGAGGCTTTCAGAGTGCTCCTGGGGGCTGTGGAGGGCAGAAATGAGCGAAAAAATGGCCTCTTTTTTGCTCAATTTTGCCTCCCGCAGCCCCCAAGAGCACTCTATAAGCCTCCTAAAGGCTATCCATGCCCCTTTTTTGAAAAAAAAAAACCGGGACATTTTTGGGAGGTTTGCAGAGTACAAAAACCGTTTTTTTACATTTGCCTCTTCAAAACCTTGGTGTGCCTTATACTCCGGTGTGTCTTATACTCCAGTGTGTCTTATACCCTGCAAAAATACGGTATCTGTATCCTCAGAGTCACCTGAATCAGAGTGCAAATGGGTGTAAAACTTTTTTGGGGAGTGTTTGAAAGACCTGTTTTCAGGGGGCAGGGGAATACAGGAAAGTTAAGTTGCCTGTTGGAAAAAACACCTTTGGGACAACCATGACTTGGATGATTGAGAATCTGCACAGGCATTTACTCAAAGAAAGCTCTCTCCGTGCACAAATCTATTCTATTGGATGAAATCTATTGCTTAGTTCCCTGCTTGGCTGCTGGTGTATGTTCTCTTTTGACCTGATTGCAGAGTTTATTTACTGATTTAATAAAATGTTTACACCCCATCTCTGGTCCCCCAAGCATCCTAAAGTAAAGGAAGGCAGCATGAATATTGTTAGCACAGGGGAGTATTTTTAATTATGATGGCCTCCCGCAGCCTGAAGTGCTGGTAGGTTCACTCCATGAACGGAAAACTCTTTTCCCCCTCGTCTGAGCTCACCCTGAGAATGATAAATAAATTAGACTACATGGGGTCACTGGATCAATGCTTGGGAATCTCTCAAAGATTAGGGGGATCCCTGCAGCTTGATAAGTAGCTAGGCATGTAGGCAATGTGTAATTGTGGGAAATACCATGAAAAATTTAATGGAAAGAATGCTTGGTTTCCACAACTTGCATTTTTGCCCAGTTCCTCTTATTTTGGAGTTTTAGAAAGAATGTTGAGCAAAGATTCTACACAGTGGTGGGTTTCGCATTTTATTACCACTGGTTCCCTGTGCACACACCTTCCACGCATGTGCTTTGTTCGTGCATGGACCTTCCGCGCATGTGCCCAGCCTCAAAAACATGCCTAAATATGATGGCATAGAGCCGATTTCAATCCGAACCAGCTGAATATCACCTCTGATTCTACATATATACAATGCAATACAATAGTGAGTTGGAAGGGACCTTGGAGGTCTTCTAGTCCTGTGACCTGTCAAAACCGCGCTCGACTAAGCCGCACCCGTTTAAACCGCGTCGCCAACAGGGCGACAACAGCCAGCGCGGAGAAAGAAGGGCNATCGCGCTGTGATGATGTCAAATGCGCGCTTTCGTCGATTGTACTTTTGTGGACCGCGGTTTTGACGGGTCACGGTGGATAACGTATTTATGTGTTTGAGGAAGTTTGGGTAAAGGATTCCCCACCCTCCATTTTCTCATTCTGCTTCTTTCAGCTTGACTGTCAGTAATCTAGTGGAAATGCTGATTACTCAACCATTGTGGACTCTGTTAATGTATTAAGCAAGGGACGATGGAAACAGTGTAAAGAATAATATATTGTGATATAAAGCTTCTCACAATTGGTTAATCTACTCTTCTAATTTCAGACACTGAGAGCATCTGGGAAGATCTACATGCTGTTTTTCGTGCTGGTCATTTTTCTGGGCTCGTTTTATCTGGTCAATCTAATCTTAGCTGTGGTCACCATGGCTTATGAAGAACAGAGCAAGGCCACCATTGCTGAAACAAAGGCCAAAGCGGAAAAATTACAGGAAGCCATGGAAATGCTAAAAGAAGAGCAAAAGGTGTCTATAACTCTGGCTGCTTTCATTAAAACGACTAAAAGAACATTGTGCAAACCTACGCTTGTTGCAGAAAGGATAAACCTGGGCAGAGGAAGTCCAAAAAAAAGCTAAGACGTCAGTTACAAGTGTGTAATTGAAGCCCCTCCCATTTTTACATATTTCATCATATATACGTACATTTCAGGAAATAGGGAGGGGCTTCAATTGTATGTTCATGGCTGCCATATTGACTTTTTTTTCCAATGATCTTACCCCACCCCGCTCCTTGCAGGCTCACCAACAGTGGTGGGATTCAAATAATTTAACAATGGGTTCTCTGCCCTAAAGGGACTCAGTGGCTCACTGGCTAAGATGCTGGTCTTGTTGATCAGAAATGTAGGCAGTTCAGCAGTTCGAATGCCTAGTGCTGTGTAATGGAGTGAGTTCCCATTACTTGTCCCAGCTTCTGCCAACGTGGCAGTTTGAAAGCACATTAAAAATGCAAGTAGAAAAATAGGAACCACCTTTGGTGGGAAAGTAACAGCATTCCATGTGCCTTCGGCGTTTAGCCATGCCAGCCACATGACCACACAGAGACGTCTTTATGCTGGCCTTCGGCTTTGAAACGGAGATGAGCACTGCCCCCTTAGAATCAGGAACCACTAGCACATATGTGCAAAGGGAACTTTTACCTTTATCTTTACGTATCTCTGCCATAATGACAGGGTAGGCATTGCTCAGTGGCATGTGACTGTGTGGGCATGGCCAACTCAATGTCTCTCATGTCAATGGGCCTTAGCTGTTACNGGAAACCTTATACCGTTCCAGACAAATGGCTATCCAACATCTTCTTAAAGACTTCCAGTGTTGGGGCATTCACAACTTCTGGAGGCAAGCTGTTCATATTCTGATGTTCATTGCACAGTTTTGGTACTCCTCATTTGGAGCACCTCAAGTTGGTCAAGATGTGGGACAGCTTGGGTCAGTCCTACTGTTAGACTCTGCCTAAGATTTGGAGTGTCATGAAAGAGATGGGTGGACTTAACTTTCCATTTAAGGAACAGGACATTAATAAATAGGCCCAGCCATTTCTCACCTGCTGGATGTCCTTCACTAGACAGGGATACAAAGCTGTAACAAATAGCCATTTTATTTATATATCAGCTTTATTGTTTTTTTTATAAACAAGTCCAGGAGGCGAAGATATCTCCTTCTCCCTTCTATTTTCCCAACCCTGTGAAATGGGTTGGGTTGGGTTGAGACAGAGTGATTGGACCAAAGTCACCCAGCTAACTTTTATGCCTAAGGCAGGATTAGAACTCACCATCTCCTGTGATTGGTTGAAAGTTATCTAGGCAGCTTGCCTCCAGAAGTTGTAGGTGTTCCATCACTGGAGGTTTTTAAAGGCCGGAGAACCAGTTGTCTGAAATGGTATAGAGCCTACTGCTTCAGTTGGACTAAAAGACCTCCAAGGTCCCTTCCAGCTCAGTTCTGATTGAGTAGAATCAACCTCTGCCTTCAGCATCTTCTAATATCTCTGCTACCCAGTATTTATTGATCAAAATGTAATACTTGCCTATCTCTCTCAGAGAGAGATGTGCAAATATAATTTCTTGCTTGCTTGCTTTAGCTGAGTACCCAGGATGACCTTTGCGCCTATAGGATAAGGAGCGTGAGTGGGAACCCACCTGAACCGGTAGTAAAAAAGATTAGCAACCCACTTCTGATAAGGATCCTACAGAGAATATTATCTGTATTCCTGGAATTTCTGTATTCCTGTAACACTGTATTCTTTGGTGCTCAGTGAGCCCACAACACCACAATGGTGGGGCAACACAGCAAGGCCTATGGAGCTAATCTTTGGGGCATCCTATTCTGATTTAATAAAGGAGCTAAAACTTTATTAATGTCTCCAGCCATTGTTACTTCAAGATGTTAATTATAACATTTAATCACCAATATTTTTTTGAAAAAGATTCCCATACTGCTGATTTCTCAATCCACTGTAAATCTTGATTGCACATTTATCAAAATGATTACACCCCTTAGCAGAGTGTAAGTTTCCACTGATGGGTACCACACAGCTCTAGAATAGGAGCAGCTGGGAGGGAATGGTTGAAGTTGAAACATCTGAGGGCAGGGAAAGAAGTAAGAGCTGGAAAGAGAAAAAAAACAACCTAGAATTAAGGAGAAAGTTCCTGTCAGTGAGAACAACTAATCAATGGAACTGCTTGCCTCCAGAAATTGTGGGTGCTCTGCTCCTTCTTGGGAGGTTTTAAAGAAAATATTTGGTGCCCATTTGTCTGCAATGGTATAGGAGTCTCCTGCTTGAGCAGGTGGTTGGACTAGAAGACCTCCAAGGTTATCTCCAACTCAGAGGTGGGTTCCTACCACTTCGCACCTATTCGGTAGAACCGGTTCGTCAAATCTACCCAACCGGTTAGAAGAGGTTCCACAAGTTGACCCGGAAAGCAGGCCACACCTACAGAAGAGGTTCCAAAAATTTTTGAAACCCACCACTGGTCCTTGGATACGATTATTCTACACTATTATGCTCCTATTTATAAAACTCAGTGCCTCTGTGAAAGGGAAGGATGACTCCTGCGTTTGTGGTGCAATCAGAACATTGCGTGTGTTGAAGTTGTTNTATCATATATCATATATCATATATCATATATCATATATCATATATCATATATCATATATCATATATCATATATCATATATCATATATCATATATTGATATATTGTATATACATATCATATCATATCAGAGTTGGAAAAAACCTTGGAGGTCTTCTAGTCCAACCCCCTGCTTAGTCAGGAAACCTTATACCGTTCCAGACAAATGGTTATCCAACATCTTCTTCAAAACTTCCAGTGTTGGAGCAACCACAACTTCTGGTGGCAAGTTGTTCCACTGATTAATTGTTCTCACTGTCAGGAAATTTCTCCTCGGTTCTAAGTTGCTTTTCTCCTTGATTAGTTTCTACCTGTTGATTCTTGTTCTGTCCTCAGGTGCTTCGGAGAATAATTTGACTCCCTCTTCTTTGTGGCAACCCCTGAGATATTGGAAGACTGCTATCATGTCTCCCCTAGTCCTTCGTTTCAATAAACTACCCAGTTCCAGCAACTGTTTTTCATACATTTTAACCTCAGGTCCCCTAAGGTTAAGTGAGTCCTGCCCAATACACGACCTTTTTGCCATCATTGTTAAGTGAATCATGCAGTCTTTAAGTGAATCCAGTTTCCCCCAAGGACTTAGCTGGTCAGAAGCCAGCTGGGAAGATAATAAATGGTGATCACATGACTCTGGGAAAATACATGCCAGTTTGACAAGCACCCACATTTTGATCATGAGACCATGGATGTGTTACAATGGTCATAAATGCAAGGATCAGTCCTAAGTCGCTTTTTTCATGGCTGTTGAATCTTTGTGACTCAATGAATGGCTGTCAAGGAGTGGCTGCATAAGTAGCAATAGCACTTAGCAGTAGCACTTAGACTTAAACACTGATTTATAGCCCTCTCTAAGCGGTTTATACAGAGTCAGCCTATTGCCCCCAACAATCTGGGTCCTCATTTTACCCACCTCAAAAGGATGGAAGGCTGAGTCAACCTTGAGCCTGGTGAGACTTGAACTGCCAAATTGCAGGCAGCCGGCAGGCAGCAGAAGTAGCCTGCAGTACTGCACTCTCACCACTGGGCTACCATAGTTCATAGAAAGTAAGATTATTACTGTAGCAATTCCTTTCCAGTAAGAATTGTAGATTTGGGGAATCTGTTATTTTTGTTTATTTGTTTGTTTTATTTATTATACTTTTATGCCACCCATCTCTCCCGGGAGGTGATTCTGGGCGGCTGTATTATTCATGGTCCGTTATTTGAAAATTGTGAAATTTTCTATTGTATGGGATTTGCAATCAAAAGTGTTTTTTTAAGCATAAAAAACAGCAGCTGAAAAATAAAACAGCTTGATTCCTAACCATCCAAAACTCCTTCAATTATTGAAGTAAAACTTGTTTTATCAAAAATGTCAGAATTTCATCAGAGATCATTGGATCTTTTCAGGGAATGAGCTGCAGAGAAGTTAAAAAAAAGGAATACAATTTGTACATTCTCAACCAAAGTTAAAACGTTGAGCCGTATGAAAAAGTAAAATGCCTAGGTCAGTAAAAACTTCTTCTTCCTCCTCCTCCTCCTCCTTCCCTTCTCCCTCTTTCTATGTCCTTCTCCTCCTCCTCCCTTCTATCTTCTATCTTCTTCTTCCTTCTCTTCCTCTTCTTCTTCTCCTCCTCCTCCTTCTTTTTATCTTCTTCTTCTTCATCCTCTTCTTCATCCTCTTCTTCTTCTCCCTCCCCCTCCTTCCCTTCTCCTCCCTCTTTCTATCTTCTCCTCCTCCTTCTCCCTTCTATCTTCTTCCTCCTCCTCCTTCTTCTTTCTATTTTCTTCTTCCTCCTCCTCCTCCTCCTCCTCCTCTTCCTCCTTCTTTAGAGCTTGAAGAATCAGATCGAAAATGGCCTCGCTTCTTGAGCAAGTTAGCCCGCAAGTATCTTATCTGGAANTTTTTTTTCTTTGAAAACATCTATGGAGATTCTTAATCATCCAGACCACGGTTGTCCCAAAAGTGCTTTTTAAAAAGCAACTGAACTTTCTTAGTTTTTTTTTTCTTGAAAACGTTTTTGCTTCTCACGCAAGAAGCTTCTTCAGTTCAACGGAAGATCGGAAGGCTCATTTAGATAAGAAGTGAAATGCTTTCAAAGAAAAAAAAAACCCTAAGAAAGTCCATTGATTTTTGGAAAAGCAACTTTGGGACAACCCATTCTGACCTCATGATAAAGCATAAATCACACGCTTAGTCCCCAAAACCCTCTTTTATTAAATGGCTGTGAATTATGGTCATTCACAGCCCATAATGATTCACAAATAGCCTGTGAAGAGTCCGACAGAAGTCTGCCACAGTCTTTCAGGGTGAGGCTGATAAGCATCCACCTTTATCTCCTTTGAAACGCTGCCAGAGATGGAATTGCCAATTAGCTTTGCAAGGCCAAATGGAGCACAGAGTCAAACTGAGTTTCTCAGAGTTTGAACCAACCAGAATGAACAAATTGTTTTCTGCAAAGGCTCATGTTCATTTTCTCCTCTTTTATGTCTTATGGGAAGAGCCAATCATCTCCAAGCCTTATTCCGGAGTCGTCCCTTTTGTCTTAACGGTTCTTGCCTTCTGGCAGTCTGTGCATGCGCACACCGGGAGCAGGCTCACACTGTTCTTCTGCCTTGCTGATGCCAGACTCCAGAGGCAGCACATCACTATCAGATGGCCTCGTTCCCCTCCCTGCCTCCAATGCAGAGCCCTCATCAGAGCCTTCCCCAGACTCCAGGACTGGCCCATCTTCCTCCCCAACCTCCTCACTGTCCGACTCAGCTGCCAGCTCCACAGGCTGCCGGTGGACCACAACACAACCATGACCTGAATGATTGAGAATCTCTATACACATGCCCCCAAAATAAGTTGCAGAAATAAATCATAAAAAACATTCTTTATTGAAGGGAAGTCCAAGACTTTCATATTTTTGCTGCATTGGGCAGTAGATTAACAGTCCATCATTTTATTTGAGGGATCCTTGGTACCTACTCTCTTGGTTGTTTTCTTGCAGGCATTTTACTACTAAGTAACTTCATAGGTGCTAATGGGCTGTCTGCAAGAAAACAACCAAACTCAGACAGCATCAAGGACCCCTCAGTTCAACCCTGAGCTATACATATTCTCCTTTACCAGTAATTTATTTATTTGGAGAACTTCCATAGCTGATGGAAACCAATGTATGCCAATATTGCATTGCATTTTGTTTCTCCCATCCTTGTTCCCTGCAGATCTCCAGCTATGGTTATGGGCCTTCTTCAAACCCAGCAAAACGGAGGCCAAGTCATGAGAGTGTCTTCAATTTCCACCTATCAGGAAAAGAGACTGGAGCCAAGACTGAATGTGGGGATGACGAATCCAACAGTGTTGGGGAGATGGAGCGTGGCTATGTTTTTCCTACACGCAGAGTAAGCACTCAGAGTCAAGCCAGCTATGTATCCCATCCAGCTACTCCTAACTACATGCAATCCAATAGATGGAACGCCGGAGATGATTGCAACGGGATGATCTCCTTGGTGGGACCTGGTGGAATGAGGTCTTTGAACATGGAACCTCTTTCAGGAGAAGGCATATTGCTCCCTCCTGTTATGGAAAGCCCCAGAATGAGCAACCAAGTGAGTTGAAAATATTAGCAATTATTCATACATGAGGTTATGCTTCATAGGCTCTTCATGATGCAGATGTAGCTACGCATACACTGCTGTACAGTGTTGTATATTTGATATTGATGTCTTTTGAAGGATCCCAAATAGGGAACACAGGCCAATTGTCTTTTGAGACAACATAGGCTATATATATATATATATATATATA